CATTCATATTTTCTGACTGGGCTCACACAGGGTTCAATGTTCCGAGGCTTGAATGTAATTGTACACCACACGTGAATGTAAACTAGCTTGCACAGTAATTCGTTTCACAGTCATTGAGGTTATACATTTGTTCAATTACTTATTAATTTATTTACTTATACGATAATAAAAAATCATACATGTAATTTCTTAGACCTTTTCATAATGTAAACTGATACATTTCATCTCCCGAGCGCTTGCTTCGTTTTTGTACAAGACACTGGAAATAACAAAATGGCCGACACCATCATAAATTGCTGGTCATAACAAATAGAATACTCATGCGCATCATTATGCAAATTAGTCCACTCACCGATTCCTACTAGTTGTATTCATGCAATTAAAAAAATACATAAAAAATGCTAAATTTTAATTAAAATGTAAAATGCAACAATGAATTGCAGCAGCCAATCATTAGTAACATTCTTACCAAGTTACATTAAAATCGTTTTAATGCTTTTTGAGATATAACTGAACTAGCTTAAAATTCACACATTATTATGCAGATGAGCTCATTAATATGCATGGCTGTCAACCAAAAACTAATCAAATCTGCGCATTGCCCCAGACAAGCTATATACCAAGTTTCATTGAAATCCGAACATTGGTTCTTGAGATATCGATGGAACAGACACACACACACACAGACAGACACACTAACTGCAAAGACTCCCTTTTTGTGCTTCGCACACGGGAGTCAAAAATGTATGTAGAATGCATCAACGTCGGATGAAGATCGAGTTGCTTTGACGACGTGCGATGCCAAACGGTATCTCATATAAAAGACGACAAAAGCAGAATATTTTCTCGCACCACACTATCTCTATCGTCTGCTACTATTTGTAGTGAATTTCTATGGACCTCTCGAAATCAAAAGGTGGTAGTCATCGCGCCGCGCATGTGCGACATTCGTGTTGATAAACATTGATTTTCCCACAATCCAATGCGATTTTCTAATGAAATCCCAAGTACGAGTTTTGCCCTGGGCATTAATTACCACCGGCAACTCCTTCCAATCACCAACAAACACCAAATTCAAGCTTAGTAACTTTTCGGTTTGTACTTGTTGGCGTGCGCAACAATCGCCATCTTAGCTTATACGAGACCCAAATCTGGCGAATGCGTGGCAAATTTGTTGCAAAAAACAAAGGATCATGTTTCCGGTATCATTTTTTTCATTCAAAAACCAGTGATGAAGCAGCGTTGTTACGTAACTGGCATTGCTAAATGTTCCAATCAGCTCACACGGCCCACAAAGTCAAAATAATATTTATGAACAGAACATTGACTTTGATTTACTAATACCAGAAAACCCATTTTTTCATGCCAAGTAACATCCAACGGCATTATAAATCCTGACTTTTCACACACGCATAACCAAAACGGTCTCATGTAGTCATGGCAGCCACACTGTATATGAAAGTTGAGAAGAGATATACCAAACAACTGTACATTGACGCATGACCCTTTGCTTCTGAGCATGCTCAATTCAATCGAAGCTGCTATTTTGGAAACGTGAATAAACTTGCTGGTCTACCGCGAAAGAGAAATATTTCTATTGATCGTTTTTTTATAGAAACTTTGAACAAAAAACAGGCAAGTTTTATTCTGAAATCATACAACTGTGATGTTCTTGTCTACTCTCAATGTTTTTGGGCATTTTTGATTTGGTTTAAAGCTTTAATATCCCCTCTTTGTGGCATGAAAATGGAATGTGATTGATATGACATGGGACACCGTCCCTCAACACCCGGTTAAGAAACGCTATTGCCTAAATGTGTTATTCCCTCAATCATCCAGGCGATGCGCGTTTCGCTCAAACCAACTAACAGTGACGTCTCAGCGTCACTGTACACTTTCAACTCTACGTTTAGTTGTCACCGTCACGACTTGTCTGCGATCTGACCGTTTATTATCGTCTCGTGATCACAGCAAAAATCAAAGAAAGCTTAGAAAGAACTCACATGTGTTGAGATTATTGGAGACACATTAAAAATAATTCGAAATTACTTGTACTTGAGATACTGATGGAAAAGCTGAAAACTAATTATGCAAATCATAAAATTAATATATCTATCTATTGTAGTATCATAATTTTATACTAGCTATTATCTGTAATGTATTAGCTTAGATTGTTTTTTTTGTTTTTTTTATTATCTATTTTCTGTTTTGTAACCTTTTATTCCTTTTTAAACTTTTGTAACCATTGCCAATCCCTCCGGGGAATGTGTAAGTGTTAATAAAATTATTATTATTATTATTATTAATATAAACAGATTTGAATGTAAAACTAATGAAGTCTCTGCACAATGTAACAGACCATCGATGTACCAAGTTTTATTAAAATGTGATGAAAACAAAAAAATTATGAATTATTATGCTAATTAGGGAATTAATATGAACAGATTTTAATCCCAAACTAACCAGGTTTGTACATTGTTCTAGAGCATCCTTGTACTAAGTTTCACTAAAATGGAATAATTAGTACTTTAGATATCAGTGTGACAGCTTAAAATTGGGTGATTAATATGCATAAGTATTTACTGAAAACTAATTGTGTCTCTGCATAGTTCTAGACTCATTAAATGTGATTAGTACTCAAGATATCAGTGGAAAATATCAGCTTAAAATTGGTTAATTATGCAAATTAGGTAATTAGTATGTACAGATTTAACCCACCATCAATCAGGTATGTCTATTATCCTACAGCATCCATGTACAAAGTTTCATTGAAATGTGATGATCAGTACTTAAGATATCAGTGTGTAAGTTGATAATTGGTTAATTATGCAAATTAGGTAATTAATATGCATAAATATTTACCGGAACCCAATTGGGTCTCTGCATAGTTCTAGATTCATTAAATGTGATGATTAGTACTAGAGATATCAGTGGAAAAGCCTAACATGGGTTAATTATGCAAATTAGGTAATTAATATGCAAGAATTGTTACAAAAACCTAATCAAATCTGCACACAAGTTCAGAGCATCTATGTACCAAGTTTCATCAAAATCCAATTAGTGGTTGTTTAGATATCAGTGGAACAGCTAAAAATTAGCTAATTATCATGCAAATTAGGTAATTAATATGCACAGATTTTTACCAAAACCTAATCAAATCTGCGTATTGGCCCAGAGCATCTATGCACCAAGTTTCATCAAAAACCGATGTATGGTTCTTGAGATAGCAGTGGAACAGACATACACACACACACACACACATACATACAGACACACTAACTGCAAAGAGTCAACAAAGTAGGTTCTGCGCATGTGGAGTCTTGTTTACGCAAAGAGTTATGGATAAAATTACGTCATACGATATGCTGAGTTATATCAGCTCCGATATTTCTGATATTTCCGGTAACTCGATGCAGGAGGATCAAAAAGATAAACATCGAAACGCATATACAGACAATAGAAGTCAAATCGCTTCTTAACCGGATGTTGAGGTACGGTGCATGGGATAACCAGTGACTGCACAATATTAGTCAACATACACCTGCCTAGTGACAATCTGTGCAAGTAGCCAATCACAGACTGTGATGCAGCACATGATTTCTTGCATTAATCTGAGAAAAATCCATGGTTACAAGGCTATAAATTTCATACTGCAAACTTGAAAATTCCAGTGTGTTGTTGAATGGGTGAAGTTGTTATGCAGATGCGGCCCTGGTCTCAGAGTGGTTAGTGGAAATTAGTAAATGATTTGTTGATGGGGAAATTATGTTGACCTTGCAAATTAAGCAGCCAGTGTAGCTTACACTATGGAAGGTACGAGTACAGGAGAGAGGATCAAAGGTTTTTATCCGATTTATAACTTTTGTTTCTCTTGTTTCAAGTCTTATTGCCATTGTTTATTTGTCCTTACATGCGCAGAACTTGTTATTGGGATAGAATATTATTTTACAAGAATCTGCGATTTGGTCATCTTGTGTGACTTTGATGTCAATTTATCTCTGTAAAACGCTGACTGTTTCAGAGCTTACCTGAATGTTAATTATTTACATAATCTCATTATCGGAATGTTTAGTAAGTAAATAAATCAAAGTGATCATGGAACATGGGAAAACAATAGCGTGCTCTCTCCTGTCCTTTTTATTTCCATGCTAACACCACAGGACATCAGGGATTTGTTTTGGGCTATGCCCTCACAACTTTCCCCTTATCCCATTGTGTTTCCTACACATGGACTAAGATAATGAAGTAACACAGAATTATTGTAAAACACATCTAGACAATGTTATATACCAATATTTATCAGAAATTCATAATATATACAGATACAAATACAATAAAAAATATTCAAAATGCAATGACCAGCATGCATTTTTGATCCTTTACACTACAAAATGTTTAGGTCAACAAATAGTACATAAAAACTATGACTTTGTAAGACAATAAAATATTATATATTATGCTGTGACTAAAGCATGAAACTACATTACAGTTCTTAAGTTTTATAGACATTCTGTTTACAAATTGTGAAAATTTAACCAATCCATCTGTAAGAAAATGTGGTTGCACATAAACACTTTGTAAATGTGAATTTCCCTGTAGGAAACAGTGTTTAATATATTGATACAAGGGTACATCAATCAGATTAAAGGCCCAAAAATACTTTTGATTAACAGTTGTTTTTACTTTGCTACAGCAATGTGTACAAGAAAGCTTGTACAAAGAAGAAAACACACAGTCAAGTTTTGCAATATGTTTTGTTCATCCATTCACACTACCATCCATTTGATGCAATTGTCTGATTTAAATAAAAATTCAAGGATTTCCTGGTTGGTAATGGCTGCCTTTAATTGACAGCCATTAGATTGAAATGCAGCAGATACAATGTTTCAAAGAAGCAAAGATTCAAATGACAAGACTAAATACTATAACAATTATGCAATGATGGACAACTGCACCAGCCTCCGAAGAGTAATAATGGATAGGATTAACATAATGACACAAGTACAAAATATAAATACTACTTATTTGTAGACTAAACTAGATTATAACTACTTACTCAATGCTAATTTGATGGTCACTAACTCCTATAAAGAAAATAGTGATGTAATCTGAGTCAGTGTGCATCTTAAGCAAACTAAAAAAAATAAGCAAACCATGTAAGCTTGTTGTAATTCAATTATGAATTAGTAATTTGTTTACATGACCATTATTTAATGACTAAGTTGACTATGTCTGTTTGTACTATTCATTATATCTATGGTCAATGCTTTGTGAAACATAATCATATTTTATCACCATATACAATTTTTGTGTGGTCTGTACAACTGTAATATGTTCCCAGTGCCGTAATGAGAGTAAGTATGGCACAATATTAAGATCTAGCCTGGGAAGATGAAGGTCTGCTTGGTTTTCCACCACCACCCATAGATACCCTGTCTTTCAGCTCAGCAATCTCTGTAATTTAACAACATATATCATTATACAATGTTACAATCAATCTTCATCAAGTATAATAATTTGCTGATCTAAGAATCCAAACAATTACATTGATAACACAGGGTTCTCCAAAAAAAGTATCAAAACCATGAGGCAAATTAGCATATTATTTTTATGTGAACTTGGGACTTATAAGCATTATTCTTTGTTTAGATAAAATCTATATTAAACTTCATGTCAGTAAATTGTCATATTCTTTTGCATTGTTTGATTTATAACAAATGTATTATTTTAATTAAAATATTGGTCATTTTAAAGATCCCCTGTCACTGACAGCTTGCTATCTGTCCAACATTTACACACTCACTACAGCAAGAAACTGCTCATACCTTGCTTTAATGCTTGATTTTCTTGCATTAATTCAGAGTTTCTTGTGGAGAGAAAGACAGCATCCTGGATGGATTCTTCAAGTAATGAGCGATATCTCTGCTCTAATGCAGCTTTCTGTTCCTCAAACACTTCTCGATAGTTCCTAAAAGTCTGTATGAATCAAAGACACAGTGATGTGTTATATAATCTTTGTACAGTATGTATTGGTGAAAAAACTGTGCCTCATTAGATTAATGTTTATACTATATATACTATATACTCTTTTAGTATAATTACTATTTTCTTGTGCTATTTTTTGTCATGAGCTTGTTTGAGAGAAACAACTGAACAGAATTATCTACAACTTACTATGTTCATTAGGGCTAATGTGAAAAGGTAAACCAGACTTCTGAAATTTAGATCGGTCACACGGTCTTTGCCATTTTGGATTAAAAAAAAACTTAAAGTACTCAATTATACTTCCGCAGGTCTCAGAGATCTGAAATTGTTTGTTGTAGCATCACTGACATGAACTTTACCAAGAGATAATGAATAATAAATATAGCTCACCACATGATTTTTCACGCCATAATTTACTAACAAACAAAATAAAACGACCATAACCACATCTGACCTGAAATTTGGCTTGTACCCAGAAGTAGTTTTTGTACTACTGGTCCAATAGGTTTTGGAGATTTAAATTTGTTTGTTGTAGTATAATTGACATGTGTACAACAAATATTGTGAATAAAAACTATAGCATGATACAGTGGTTAGCGTGTTCGCAACTTATCTGGTAGGTTGTGGATTTGATTACCAGAAACGACTGTGTACTAATTAGTGCCCTGTCCTCCAAACATATGGTATTTGGTATAGAAGACTGGTTGGCACAGATACATGCACAAAATAAAAACAACAGAACAGACAGCAGTGACCAGTCCAGAAATGTCACCTTGCACAAACAATATACTACACATATTTATATCTGTGGGACAGGTAACTTTGGGTCTGCAAACCATTCCACAATTAAACATGTTTAGCGATCGAATTGGATTTTTAAGAAATTTGAAGTAATCCAATTCTAGTTATCACTGGCATATGGACTACCACGTTCATGAATAAAAACTATAGCAGCCATGCGAGGTTTACTACAAGGTTGAATCATCAGAAACACTTTTCTCATTCACCTAAAATTTGGCTAGTAGCACGTTTGTTTCAAGCTCATTAGAATTGGTTGCCTCCATGGGTCTATAAATTATGTTTCACACTGAGCAAAGTTCTTTTACAATGATTTTGAATTACAAGTAGCAATATTTTTGTACCTGGCCACATTTCTAGACATTGAAGTCATGGCTGTTTCTCCTGACTTGTTATTGTCTTATCAAGTGCATGTGTGTAACAAGTCTGTAATGCCACAAGGCATAATTTGTTTAAAACTTTGAATTCTCATCAGAAGAGCATAAAATTTGGTTGGAGCTAATTACATGTGCGCAACATAGTCTTGATACGTAATGCATATTTTTTTTAAAATCATCAAATTCTCAGCAGGCTAGCATATAATTTAGTAATTGGATGAATAGACCCCTTTTGTAGAAAAACGAGACAGGTGAGATTTTAGTCGACTTGTTTGGACTATGTCTGATTGGGTAATAAAATAATTTTATTGGTCGCCATAATGAATTAATGAAATATACAAAAATGTAGACTCAAATGTTTGATAATCAATTTCACAAGTACTACTGAATTGTAAAATGTTTTTTATCATCTATACCTCGCATAACTTCAACTCTTAAAAGCACACTGATTAGTCACATGGTTCGATGGCAATACTAGATCTTTAAAAACCTGGATGTTAGCAAACGGATGCTGGTGACATCACAGCTAGGATGATGGCTACGTTTTCAGGTTTCCATGGTAACTTGGTAATTTTCTTGATGTAGAAGAATGTCAGTAGTACTCAAAGTCAGATGATTAAATATTGTTCATTACTGTATTTATCCGGGTATAAGCCCAGGGTCCTGAACATGGAAAATTGGCAAAAAGAAGGGGTGGGCGTTTGCCAGGAGATCCCTGGCAAAAAAAAAATGAAAATTCGCGAAAATTTACAACACGCAGACCAAACTGCGGCAGGGAATAGAATGGCATATGAAAACATGCAACAGAAATAAATGAACAATATGCAACATTAGAAGTAAAACAAAAATAATGTATTGCTTATAATATGACAAATAAACCAGAAATAATAAAAATCGACAGTGAGGAATCATTTGAATTAGGATTTTCCTGCCAACAAACACGCCCAATACGCGTGAACTAAAAATGAATTAAAATGTCAGGGGTTAAACTGCGTGAAATGATTTTCAGTCTTGACAAATTACGAATCTACCGTCATACAAGAACAATAATAATTTACAAATTCACACAGTAAAAATTATAAAAATTCATAGCTGTTTGAAAAAACTTCTCAGATCTTTATTTGTATGTTCATTGCCATCTTCGTCAAACTTAAAACCCTCAATGTCTAAGTCGGCGTCACTGTAGCCGTCGAACAAAATCCCTACAACTTATTCCTGAAGTTCGTTGATATCGTCCCACACAATTTGGACGTAGCACTTTTAATCCACGGATTTCGCAGTCTGTCAGCTTGACACTTTTCATTCATGTCTAATCATAATAAAGAGACAAGAAAAATGGGGTCGCTCTCATGCTGTGATGGCACACGATGCTTTTGTTTACAGTCTGGCAATCATCTTTGACCTTTATGCATTTGCTTTACTGATTGGCTAAGAATGACGTCACTACTAGTATTTCATCATAAAGGCCAAATCGTGACATTGCTTTTTTATCAGACTCGACGCTTATGAATAACGGTGAAAGTTATCATTCAGCAAGTTCCGACAGTTGGAATGTCTCATTATATGGATATCACGGTGGAATTGAAATAGGAAGTTTTTTTTTTATCCAACGACAGAAGAATAGTTTTCATGACAGAAATGCAATAGCGGTGATGAAAGATGGTAAAAAAGTCTTCGGTGTGACATTGCAAAATTGCTGGCCCCAGTTATGAATTCGCAAGCTGCTACAAACTATTTTATAAAGCCAAAATAACGTGATTTCAACCACTCTATCAGGTACGGGTTGCTACAATATTGCAACATTGGTTTCATTGTCGACGACGATACTTGCTTAGCGGCTCTCCTTATACGATTTGCTTGAATCGTTTCTAAGGAAGCACAAATTAAACGGTCAGCCCTTTTTAGGGCCACGACATATTTCAAAAAGAGAACTACCGTTTCTGCTTTAATATATAAAATTATTCTTATAGACTTGCTGACTGTTATGATTCCAAAAAAAATCAGCGGTGAACGCGCTGCCCTGAAGGCAGAAAGCTGTCACAGCTATTTTGCGTTCACCCCTTGTTTTACACAATTAATACATAATTGTTAGAAGTATCACGACAGACTTCAAGAAAGTCAACTGTTAATACAACCACAGTCAACGAATAAAAAATATTTTTTTTGTGTGTAGAAAAAGACCCCCTGGGCGTGTGCCCGGATATGACCTCAACTTCTTTATTGTGTCAAAAGTGGGGGGTGGGCGTTTGCCCAGGCATGGGCTCTTACCCGGATAAGTACTGTACTGTTTCAATGCTAAGTTTCAAGATTTCAGTAGAAAGTGATGGTTTTCCGTCATATTGAATAAATTACATGCAGCACTAATTTGTTTGCTGCTGTCTGTCCATGGTTTTTGAAAGCAGAAATAAGATAGCAAAACAAAGCATGACAGAAGTAGACAAGATCCCAAAAATGATTTCATTCCTGATAAATTGCCAACATTTATTCTTGCACAAGTCAAAACATCATATTTCAACACTCGCTATAAATGTTATATATAAAATTTGAGAAACAGTTTCTACATCAGTAAGATTAATAGATATATTTTAAGGTTTAATTTCTCAAAATCACTAATGAGCAGCACCAACAAAAATAGAAATACAATTTGTATATAAATATTTATTAGGTTTTATTGCTACTGTATGTTCTATTTTTATCAGCAATTATTTTTCTGACTGTTGGGATATGTGTGGGATTGATATTAATGGTTTGATTAGTAACAATACTCTAGTGTGTCTATTGAAATTATAGTATTGTAGTATTATATGTAAATAATAATAGGTAAGCATTTATATAGTACATTGTACCATATAACCATAAATGCTCATAGGCACTTCACAAAACTCTATATGAGTTACATGTATTTATACATTATATGAATTACCTGAAAATGTTGTAACTGCTGTATTTCAAGTTCCTCCTTATGTTGTTGATAACTTTTCTCCACATCATTAGATAGCTGTTGTTTTTCTTGGTCCAGAGCCTGCAGCTGCATTGTAACCACAGCTCTTTCCGCTCTCAGTTCGATTAATTCTGATTCTAACTGCATGATTTCTTGATTTGTGTAATTGAATCCCTGTGCCATCTTTAACTGTTAAGAAATATTCAAATAATGAATACCATTCTGTAGTTGATTGTGATCACAAGAGAAAAAAGAAATCAAATGTTACAAGGATAAAAGTGATAAAACAGGCACTTTTGAATCGCTGGGACAGCATAAAGATATCACAGTGCACCAAATAACTTTAAGCACCAAAGGGAAGTGTTCATCCCATGTTTGATATGGGACCCACAGCAAAGTGTACATTTGTGTAAAAGACACAAAATACGCTGTACATAGACTATCGCCTTTAAGTAATAAAACTTTAATTAAGTTAAATCTTGTGTTATGCATGAAATATATCTTTTAATTGAACATTATGTTGCCAAGATACAAGTGAAATATGCTAAAAATAGATTATTATAATTAGCATTACTATATTAGCTCTATTAGAAGTGCTCAAATAGAAGCACATGTAAACCAAAATTTGCATGTTTTGTGTATTGGATCATTAAAAATATGACTCACCATGACCATAGACACACCTCAGTTATTTATGTAAATACACATGTACAGTAATGCAGCAAATAGGGTATAGACGATTTTATAAAGATTATTGAATGTACAGGTTTCTGGATAGAAATATTGGAAATTTTGAATGAAATTTGGACTTTAATTTAATCAGATCTGTGTGTTTGGCTTTCCCAGTTTCCACACTGAACAGAAAGAGTCAATTTATATTGCAGCAGCTATCACTGTCTACAGACTGGAAAAATGTTGGTATGTTAAGTTTATGCATACCTGTAACTGTGCCTTCTCATGTTCTATTTCTATCTTCATTCTATCAAGTTCTTCTGCCAGCATTGCAGCATTCTCTCTTTCTTGTTTTTGTCTTTCTTCCTTCTCAATTTTTCTCCTCAATTCAGAATTGTTCCTCAAATCGGCATTCTCAGATCTCACTTCCTGATGAGAAAAACAAAAGAAACATATAACTGCCTGTAGAGGGCAGTGTAACGCACTATAGTGTGTTCAGATGTGTACATGTGTGAAAATAATTACAATTAATGCAGTCGGTGTAAGAAAACCAAAACATACAAGTTGACCCTGATATCGATTTTTTCATCTAAAAAAAAAATGAAAATTAGTAATGCTAAAATGAATTTCTGTATGTATATACTTTTTATAGATGCAGCTTCCCGTAGTAATTTGTAAGCACACCCTTCAGAATGAAACATTTTTCTTTTTAAGTCAAATAATATCTAATCATTTCACACCATATAAACAATCTCCAATCAACAGCAGGACCTAATAACATACATGTATATTTGTAGTTGATTTTCTTCTATTTACAGTTTTGCTGGAGAAATCAGTGCACATACACTATAGACAGTGTGGAATGCAAAAAAAAAAACACACTACACTAAATTAGCATTATCATCAACTAACCTCTCTTTCTCTTTTATGTTTCTCTTGTAGCTCTTTTAGTCTTCTTTTCACATCCTTTACACTATCACTCTCCTTCTTTAACTTCTCTTTTAATTCATGAATTGCAGTGACTCTGGTTTTGGTTTCAGACTCAGATGCTTTACCTGGTAACATTTATAGTTAACTTTTTTAACTTGAAAATAATTACATGACAGAGAATAACAATTGTACAACCTTTTCAAAGTAAAAGTGTCACCTTTCAGAAAATAAATAGGGATACAATATGTTTTCTAAAAATGTCATCAAAACCAGCAGGCAAATGAAATTATGTTAATTTGACCCCTAAAAAATATTAAAAAATGTTTTTTTTGTTGGGGGTGGGGTAACTATGGCATTTAAATATGACATTATGGAAAGCTCATACAAAAAGTGTATACGTGATTATGTAAATAATCAGATTCAGCAGCCTTGGATTATATCAGTAATATCAATAAGATTATAATAATGAATTCCATCAGCAATCCTTGACTAGGTTTAAATAATGCTGAATGAATCACTATGTTTAGACAGCAGACTAAAACTACAGTGTATTTCATGTGCTTACCACTTTCTGCAAGTTTGGAATAGTCCGCAATCCTGGCTTGTAAATTGTCTTTCATTTCATCAACAAGTTTACGCTTCTCTTTGTACTCCGCTAACAACTAGAACGAGTCGAAAACAAATTATGAATGAAATGTGTCATCAGTTTATGTGTAAAAGAAATGTGTCATCAGTTTATGTGTAAAAGGAATGCGTCATCAGTTTATGTGTGAAAGAAATGTGTCATCAGTTTATGTGTAAAAGGAATGCGTCATCAGTGTATGTGTAAAAGAAATGTGTCATCAGTTTATGTGTAAAAGGAATGTGTCATCAGTTTATGTGTAAAAGGAATGCGTCATCAGTGTCTGTGTAAAAGAAATGTGTCATCAGTTTATGTGTAAAAGGAATGCGTCATCAGTTTATGTGTAAAAGGAATGCGTCATCAGTGTCTGTGTAAAAGAAATGTGTCATCAGTGTATGTGTAAAAGGAATGCGTCATCAGTGTCTGTGTAAAAGAAATGTGTCATCAGTGTGTGTAAAAGAAATGTGTCATCAGTGTCTGTGTAAAAGAAATGTGTCATCAGTGTATGTGTAAAAGAAATGTGTCATCAGTTTATGTGTAAAAGGAATGCGTCATCAGTTTATGTGTAAAAGGAATGCGTCATCAGTATATGTGTAAAAGAAATGTGTCATCAGTTTATGTGTAAAAGAAATGTGTCATCAGTGTATGTGTAAAAGAAATGTGTCATCAGTTTATGTGTGAAAGAAATGTGTCATCAGTTTATGTGTGAAAGGAATGCGTCATCAGTTTATGTGTAAAAGGAATGCGTCATCAGTGTATGTGTAAAAGAAATGTGTCATCAGTTTATGTGTAAAAGAAATGTGTCATCAGTGTATGTGTAAAAGGAATGTGTCATCAGTGTATGTGTAAAAGAAATGTGTCATCAGTGTCTGTGTAAAAGGAATGCGTCATCAGTATATGTGTAAAAGGAATGCGTCATCAGTTTATGTGTAAAAGAAATGTGTCATCAGTATATGTGTAAAAGGAATGCGTCATCAGTGTATGTGTAAAAGAAATGTGTCATCAGTTTATGTGTAAAAGAAATGTGTCATCAGTGTCTGTGTAAAAGAAATGTGTCATCAGTGTATGTGTAAAAGGAATGTGTCATCAGTGTATGTGTAAAAGAAATGTGTCATCAGTGTCTGTGTAAAAGGAATGCGTCATCAGTTTATGTGTGAAAGAAATGTGTCATCAGTGTCTGTAAAAGGAATGCGTCATCAGTTTACACTGTATGTCACAAAGAAATGTGTCATCAGTGTATGTGTAAAAGGAATTTGTCATCAGTTTATGTGTAAAAGGAATGCGTCATCAGTATATGTGTAAAAGAAATGTGTCATCAGTGTCTGTGTAAAAGAAATGTGTCATCAGTGTATGTGTAAAAGAAATGTGTCATCAGTGTATGTGTAAAAGAAATGTGTCATCAGTGTATGTGTAAAAGGAATGCGTCATCAGTTTATGTGTGAAAGAAATGTGTCATCAGTGTCTGTGTAAAAGGAATGCGTCATCAGTTTATGTGTGAAACAAGCAGCCTATCGGCTGAGATAGCTCCGCTGTTAGCAATGCACATTTCAATTAAAGAACTGAAGACATCATTAGAAAATGAACAATATGAATAGTATCAAAGCAATCGGACTTACAGTTTTTAACAAGAAGTCGAAAATATCACTTTTTACCAAAAATTACAAAAATATCACCAA